ATCACGAAACGGGGCTGGGCAAGGCGAGTCGGTGTTGATTTTCTAGAATATATTTATATATCCCATATAAACACAGCTAGGCGTCATATATATTAGTACATGTGTGCATAATATATATGATAAATACGTATGACCCCCAAGCAGTTCATTAACTTATTGCATTACAAAGAAAAAAAAAAGGGAATTTAATAAAAGGCGTTGTGAGCTTTAAATTAATTGCAGCGGACAACAAATGAAGCAATTACTCAGGATAATAAAACTGAAAACAATTAAAAGTTTTTCAACATCATTAGCGATTCATTATAATGAAAGCATATCATTAGACTTAAATAACACTTGGAAAGGCCAATAATGAAGGTAGAAAAAAGCCAGAGCAAGAGTTCTTTCTGTTTGTGTAGTAAATATTTGTTATGGTAAATAAAGTTGTATATTGATTGAACATACTTTCAATCCACGAACTATATTCACAATCCTGCTAATGAAGGCAGCGATGCCAATGTATATTTAAGATAATTTGATATTGTGATGGATTGTGGGAAATCAGTGCGGCCATCAATCAAAAGATATGTTAACTCAATCAGATAAGATCGGTGGGAAAACAATATGATAAACTGCTGTTTTCTGAATCACTATCAATATTTAAGCCCAATTTGTTTATGTCTAACAGCGGATGACGTTTTCAAATGAAAAATTAAAATAATAAATATATATAAATACATCACATGAGTATATATCATTATGCAATGCTCACAAATCTTTGTTTTCAGTTACCATTTGAGCTTTAATAACTTAACTTCTTTAAAGCTTTCTGGTTCAAAAATATTAAAGCCCAGAGAGCAATGAAAATGTTGCGTTCAAAGCAAGAGATAAAAAAATTAGATAATCTCAATGATATTATGGCTATTCGAAGTTTAAAAGTAATAAACGAATAAATAATTTTATAGAATAAACATTAATCCATTTGCATGGTATTTATGTATATCTAAAGTAAAAGAATTCCCAATTTGGCCGCACTTTATCATGTTGACTTCGTATCTGATACGATGATTGAGTAATTATCTGATCATTCAGCTCGTAAATAGTTTGGTGTCCTATTTTTGCTTATTAAAATAATATATGTATACTGCCTTTTGATTTGATTACGCAAGCGGGGGAAAAAAAAATCAAACAGTTGTTGATAACAAATGCGCAAAAGAACGAAGAAAAACTAGAAAACAAAAAAACGAAAAAAAAATAATAAATAAAGGGGTACACACGTTCTTTTATTTATACAAAGGAATCATTGCGCTGCTTATTACGCATTTGTGACATGAACTTTGAGTTCGAGTCTGTGATAAATAATTAGCTCAAGAAATGCAATACGAAACAACGATAAGAAAATCCAATAAGAAGCTCTAAAAAGCAATGTTGTAATTAACGGTAGTTAGGGCCGTATTCATATTCTATGAACAGCACGTTCTTTAGTTTTTTCGCCTTTTTGATTTATTTTAATTTTATATTGTAATGTTTTCAATGGGCACTCAATTGTTAATAAGTTCTTAGCTAAAGATAAGCTAAAATTCCTTTATACTCATGGAGTGTAGTAATTACCTAACACAGATTTTTTTTTACAATTAACTAATCATTTATCAATTTGTAAAACAAAGAAAGTTTGAATGCACCATTAAATAAAGTACCACTTTTGGTACAATTGGTACCACATGTTCTGAAAACTAACTGTAACTATTAGTGTTGACAAGTGTTTGCCAACAGCATCGCCGTTTTGTTTACAATCAGCGTTTGTTAGTGTGCGTAGCTTTCACACGCACAGTAAGGTCAAGGTCTTACAGCGCGCTGTAAATGGGTGTGTGTGTTTGTGTGTGTGTGCGCGTGCACGCGCGTGTTTCTGCAAGTGCAGCGCCAATTATGAGTACCACAAGAAGGGGTTATGCAAAAAAAAAAAAAAAAAACGAAAAGAAAAGATTTGCCACATATACGCACCGTGTTAACGAACTCGGCAATATTCGATGATATTAAATAATTGCCCTCGCACCAATCAACGGGCGAACTTCCGGGTCGAAATAAATAAATGGCATAAATGTCCATTACGCTGCCCGTGTCCATGTTGATTTCAATGAAAGTTAATAATATTAACTAATGCACTTGACGCTATAGTTGGCGTACAACTAATTGCTTTGATTAGTTATCCTTTTGTTCTATATTTTTAAGGCACTTGTGTTCTAATGTACTCAATCTTGAGCAATTGTTTGCATAATAGCCAAAAATTGCATATAGGCTGTTATTTGCGTGCCTTTGTTTATATACACTAATTTGGGTTTTAGTGATTTTGCATGTTCGTTTTCATTGATGTTGCATGCAACTTGTGTTTTTGTGTACTAAGTGCCTTATATAAGTTTCTTCGGTTCATTTGTGCGATGTCGAGGGATAACTAGATTACATCTCTTTTATGTGTTTTATCATTGTGCGCTCCTTTTTACTAAATTTGCCAACATGCGTAGTAATGTTAATTTGACGAAAAAATTAAATTAAAACACAAATACGCAGAACAAACACGTCTGTCGCGTTGGCGTACGCTTTGTTTACTGTTAATACAATGTTAAGCTTGTACTCGAAATGTCATTTGCTGATACGAGTAACTCTGAAAATGAGTACTTCGATACCTTAAACAGTGTTGAGAAACGCCACATAGCTATCGCAAATCAGATTTTTTTAAATGCAGTAAAACAATTATGTATAAAATTAATATTTATGCCTTTACATATATAAATGTTTGAGTAAATTTTGATTGTTGAAAAATGTAAAATTGTTATTGATATTATTCATATCCAAAAGTGTATTATTTTTCACACTAGGTTTATTGCCTACGAAAAGTTTTTAAAATTTTGACTCCAGTATTGGCATTATTTAAACTCAATTGTTGTTATATACGCTACGAAAGTTTTGCGGCAAATAGAAAATGGTGAAACAGAAAAGTAACGGCTTAAAATTTCATTCAAAAGTATCGATATCTGTGATGTATGTAAATGTATGTTAATCGATATACTGATATTTGACAAGACTGTTTTTTGGTTTGTTGCCGGCACGCGTTGCTTTCCGGCTTATTTTGATTCTGCATTGACTTTAAGCTCTTATGATGTTTCCACAGAGGAGTTCGGTAACATATCGCACGCCCGCGACGCACCAGCCACCACCGGCCAAGGAACTGGCTGACAATGTGGACTATCCCAATCTCAATGTGGCCGATATGAATGCCCGCCTGGAGAACCTGACACCACGACTGCACGACTGCTTTGACAGCATATCCATGAATGAACTGCAGCATTTTGCGCTGGCCACAAATCATCGCGAGGGTGCCCAGTGGTGGGGCATGCTCTTCGGGTACAATCAGACAGATCACATGGCCGTGGACAATGCGGACTTCAAGCTGCAGTGTGAATGTACTGTTAACATCTTACGGTATGCTGATAACAACGTGCTGCTCATAGCGCTGGGTGACACCAAATTGCAGGCCTGGTCCACTTACTCCACGGTGCGCAATCCGGATGAGCCATACTGTTTGTTCCTCATTGGCGAAGATGCAGCACACAAGGCGCCCATCAATCAGCTCTGTGTGTTTAAGTCGCATCCACAGCAAGCGGTTACCACTTGCCTGGACAATACGCTCAATGCAAGTAGCTTAAAATCGGCTGCTTCTATTTCTTACAACTTTCGCGCGTTTTGTAACAGGTCTGGGATGTATCTGGCGCCGATTTGTGCAGCACGTATCATGCACGCGCTGCACACACCAACAAACTGACGGGCTTAGCCACTTCCGTTGCAGCTGCCACACAGATGCTCACCTGCGACCGCGGCGGCTGTGCACGTCTGTGGGATGTGCGTGCTACATCTCCCTCATCGACGTGTCTCTATGATGATGAGACGCATTTGCTGAGCTTCAGTTGTGCTGCTTGGGCAGCGCCCAGTGAGCTGCAGGGCGATAACTACGTCTATTTGGGTGATTACGATGGCAATGTGCACACGCTTGACATACGCGCGCCGCGCAAGCTGCAGCAAACCGTGTCCTACTTTAAGGAGGGTCATGTTTCGCAGCTCCTCGTGAATGGGTAGGTGAAATCAACTGGTTTATCAGACCTTAAATACAACGGCTTCTCTTACAGCACACATCTGGCGGCCATGAGCAATCTGCCCACTGCAGTCAAGATTGCCAAAGTTGGAGTCCAACATGATTTTATTTACACCAACGAAAACACGCACACACGTCTTACGGATGCAGTCTGGCGTGATGATAGCACATTGCTGACCATTGGACACGGCCGCAAATTGGCTACGCACAAGATCAAGGACACCCGATGTATATAGCTATCTAGTTTTAGTTATCTAACTACTTAATTGTTTTTGCGTGCTATGAAATATACATATATATATATATTTGATATTTTTTACCAGCGACAATGTTATATTAGCTTATAGCTTATTAAACAATATGTAATTTGCTCGACTGGCAAATGTATGATTTGTCTGGCTTGTCACACAAACAAATATATATATTTTGATACATATACAAAAAGCATACACTAGGATACAACAAACTTAGCTATATATAAATATATACTTTGATATGTGCTTAACGAAAAATTCACTTACCAGGTCCACTTTTTCTAGCACCTGCTGGGGAGGATAAAAACAATAGTAGAAAGTGCGTAGAATTCTACAGTCATACCTACATGTTAACATAGATCCTCGTCAAGGATCCCGGTTGGAATCCTTGCTGTAATGTTATTTGACTACATCAATTGTGTGGCGAGTTATTTTGGGGAATCGTAAGGCCGTAGATTGGGCATTTGGTAAGTGAATATCGGCTGTCATATAGAAATATTTAAATTGAGCTGCTAAAGTTAAACGTCAATCATTTTAGTCAACTTAACTATATACATTTAATCATTATTATATTCATATTATAATCGCGTCAATAAATGTAATAATTATTCAAATTTGTTTCATTTTTTTTTTTTTTTTTTGGCACGCAACGTTTAACAAAAGACGCAAATGCAAAACTTAAACTAAACAACATATAAAATTAAACAACCTCAGGAAAAAAAATGCTTTTCAGTGGGGAATCATTTAAGTAAAGTGGGGCTGTCTTTGCGGCTTCTATGCGCAATGGGGAAAAATGTTTTGATTAATTTTTCCAGAAAATTAAAACTTTTTCACTTCAGCTCTCTATTATTGCCGTCGCCGCTTAGTGGGCGGTTCCAGGAAATTGTTCTCCTCCTCACCGATCTCCATATGCTCCAACTTCATGAGTTGCTTGGCCTTGTAGAGCATCGTTGTATCCCGCAGCCAGTTGCACTTGAGCACGGCATCAATTGAGGGTCTCTTCTCGGGATCCACAATGAGCATTTGTTTGATCAGCAATTTGGCGCGCTGCGACACGCCCTGCCAAGCGGGATGGCGAAAACGGAAGTTGCCCTTTTTTATTTGCTCGCCCGCCGGTGAGCCATACTCATCCGAAAACGGCAAAGTTCCACTTAGGCTGCAAATAGATATTTATTTGGTGTCTGCCATTTAAATCAAGTCAAAATCATTGCCTTACCACGTATAGAGGACCACGCCTAGACTCCAAATGTCCACTTTTTGTGTGTAGGATTCGCGTCCGCCGGTAATGAGCACCTCGGGTGCTACATATAGGGGCGTGCCGCATAGCGTACGCATCACTGAATCCTTGTGCACAAACTTGCTTAGTCCAAAATCGGATACCTTGAGCAGTGTATCCTCATCGCTGGACTCGAGCAGCACATTGTCCGGCTTCAGATCGCGATGTGTAATACCTTGAAAAATGCATTATAATCATAGCTATAGTTTTCAAATAAATAAATCATATTAATCACTTATTTTGCCACTTCAATCGAGCCATGGAGCTGCCCTCGTAGAACACCCAACCTTAACTCACCTCTGTCATGCAAATACTTGACGGCATGGCACATCTGATAGAAATACAATTTGGATGTGTCCTCGCAGAGCAGTTTCTTGCTTATAATGCGATTTAGCAGATCGCCGCCGCGCATAAATTCCAGCACCATATAAACGGAATCTGGCTTATCGACAATATCGTGCATGCGCACCACGCACGGATGCGAAAGATTTTTCATAATCTTTGCCTCATTCAGCACACGCTCCGGATCGTTAAGATTGTTGTTTGGATGTGCGCTCACCTCCAGCATGTTTTTCTTAACAATTTTCATGGCGAACTGTTCGCAGGTGCGCCGCTCATAAACCAGCCTGACTAGCCCATATGCTCCTGAGCCTAGTTTGCGATTTATATAATAGGTAGCCGTAATTTCAGCTGGCAGGCCAATTGCCTCGTTCGGACTAAGATCTTTGAAGACAAAGGCTAAAAACAAAGAGAAGGCAGGTGCTTAAATTTAAATACTGCGCTCGAATTTCTGCAATAGCAGCGGGACTTACCCTTGTAGGTAGGATGCGAGAGGGCTATGATGTCGTCATTTTGTAGGATGCGCGTTTTGTTCGTGCCGATCCGTTCGCCATTCACAAAAGTCCCATTGCGCGAGAGATCCTGGGGGGTTGTTGCAAATTGAATCGGATTTAATGTAGTTTACATTTTTGTGTGCGTACGTCGAGCTACCTACTTGTATATAAACCGGATTTGTCAGCTCACAGTTGGCGCGCTTTATGATAAAATGCACCTTGGATATGCGCGACAGTATTTTCTCAGGTAAATCATTAAGCGTCAATATTAAATCATTTAGTTCTCCGCGTCCTGCTGAAAATTCGTCATTGTTCAAGTCTAATAAGAAGATAAGCGGAATTGAGAAATTGAAAGTAACAAACACGTCTAGTTGAGAGTGCCCAACTAGAAGATACCCTGTTCCAGCTACATATATAAATATGTTAAGTGACATTTTTAACAGTCATAGAGGGGGAAAGTAGTAAGAGAATGCAAGAGAGGGGGAAAGAAGAAACAGGGGAGATACATATAGGTCACAATAGAAACAAAGGATACGCCTGAAACTCAACAGATCTTACACATGCATATATATACATTTTTACATGTACACGTAGAAAATTGCAGCAGTTCTTGAGAATCGCGTAGGAGGACGATTTGCATTACATATATCTTATAAGAAATGTCAGTTCCAAATACAATACAGACATATGGAAATAACTAAATTGGCTCAATTCGTTATAGAAACAGGGTATCAAATAAATATACATAAATATAACAAAATAACATTTAAATTTTGCATATAACAGTTACCAACACAAAAGGACGAATGCGTATAGATAATTTTGTAGGGCTTTATGCTCGTACCAAGGGACTTGATTTTAATATTCTTGCCATAGAGCCGGCCCCAGACGATCTTCTCCATGGGCTGGCTTTCGACCTGGGTCCAAATGTTGGACGCCTGACTCTGTGTGGCCTGTGTGCCCTGCGTGTCGCGAGCCATGTTGTTTGTTTCTCTTCCGTTTTCTATTGATGTTCTATGTAACTGTTTCTGTTCCGCTTAAGTTCGCTGCGCAAATATAAATGTGCAGTTATCCCAACTCAAATACACACGCACATACATAAACACACACACGCACAATCGACATGGGCAGCGCGACTATTAACTTTGTATATATAAGCGCGCCGCTATGGGAACGAGCACTACATTCAGCGAATTGTTTACATTGAATTATTGCTGAGTTTGCAAAATAACTTCTTGCTATTTTTCATACAAAAAAACACAACAATGTTACGGAGCTGCGCGCGACTTACAGATGTATATCTGCATGTTCACTGTTAGATTGCCGCCATCGAGGGCTGCATCGATAATTTGGCAGATAAGTGTTGCACAGCAGCACTATCAAGCGTTTTGGCATGCACGTCCCAGTACCATTTTCTATGAGAATAAAAAATATTTGTGTACTTATATTGTAGCTTGTTTTTAAATGCTTTCATTCAAACACTGAATAATGAGTTACTTGGTACTTATCGATATACTGTTGCATTCTATGTTAAGAAGTTTCAAGTAGTTTTTTATTAACGTAAGTCAAATTCAACTAGTTCTGCTTAAATAAATGAATTTAATTTGAGTTTGAATAAATATGCCAACGATTGATTTGTTTTCTTCCGGTAAAGTTTTGAAAGTTCGTTTTCCGTTATCAGTAAAAGCTGCCGATAGAAAAAAATACTGCCCTTTACCAATGCGTGGTGTTATTCAACACTAAAATATCGATATTATCGTTGTAGCCCTAGATTGCGGCGTCGTTTGAAAGCAACTGTAAACTATTACCAATACAAGCATAATGCCAAAACGAGAGGCATAAAAGAAAACTGAATAACAAGGCACGAGCAATAATTAAGTGAAATTAGTCAAATAGTAAATATTACATAGCCATATTTTGAATAAGCTAAGACTCGGCTGCTTACAAGTGTTGCACAGATAAAAGGTAAGCGTGCCTAAATTGTTAATAAGAAAACAACCAACAAACTTTCGTGCCTGGACTCTTTAGATCATGACGTTACCGCGTTCTGAGACGCCATTGCGTCGCTCCGCGGTGGGCAGCCACCGTGAGAGTATGCTGCGTGACCTAACGACCATGGTGAACGACGATGAGGCGGAACGTCGCGAAGCACGACGCCGCACGCTGCTGCAGCAGCAAACACGACCCCGAGACAGCAGCGTTCTGGAGTCCATCGAAGAAAACGAAACCATACGCAAATGCCTAGAGATCTACAATGGTAACAAGCTAAGTCGTGACAATGCCTGGAGCTTGTCATTGATCGATACGCTATCTAGTCTGCTGGATCGACATCACAAGACGCTGAGCAACTTTAAGGTAAGTTAAGAAGTTTATGTTGAATCCAATTTTTATGCTGGTTATCTTTTAGATGGCTGGTTCATCATTGGAGGCTTCTTCTAAGGTGTATGGCCTGCGCGTAGATTCCATTTATCTGGATGCTATGCGCATGTCTGCCGGACTTAGTGCGCGCACGCTCACTGAGAAGCAGCTAAATGCAGCTGCCGACCGCGATGAGAGCATTGCGGAGCAGGCAGAAGACGGCGCTGCCGATGGCATTGAAGCGGCTCCAGGCGCGGCGCCAAAGGCTAAGAAACGCACACGGAAGCCCGTCTCCACGGTGACCAAGAATAAGGAGACGTTGAATGCACGTTTAGATACGGCGCCTTTGCAGGATCCGGTATTTGGTAAACTAAACTCTACGGTGGGCTCAATAAACGCCTCCAATCGGCTTATGCACAACATATTGCCAACGGTGGACTCTGAGCTGCGACTGCGTACAAACTATCGTTTCTGGCAAGATCAAAAGCTGCCGGAAGAGGTGCAAGACTATACGATAGTGGACAGTGATATAAAGAATTTGGATACACAGACGCTGGTCAGCGCCGAGTGGGCGAAGAAGTTGCGGCGCTATGATCAACAGCTTAAGCTACGACCTCTGCACACGGGCTACATAATAACTGATGCGCCCAACCCGATCAATGCCAACGATCCAGCAGCTGCGAATTCAACAGATAATAACGATATGGGTGTGGACAACGCTGATGATTTTTATGAGAATCCAAGAGAGCTATCTATGGCATTTGACATCAATGCCGAGTGCGAACCAATACCGGAGCTCGATGCGCCGGCGGCTACAGTTCTAGAGGTTGACTACAATGAGCTGGAGGAGCTAACAACTGAGGAGCGCACAACGTTGCAGCATTGTCGTGCCTTGCGCAAACAGACAGTGTTGATTGAGGATCTGCGACCCGTTGACGGCAGCTCCAAGCTCGAGTACTCCTATCGGCCAATGGACCAAATTTCTCAGTTCTGGGCGGGACCATCTCACTGGAAATTCAAGCGTATACGGGCACGTAGCACCTTGGGACACACCAATGCACAGGATAACATAGCCGCAAGCGGCAGCGGCGGCACAGCAGCTGCGGCGCGAATACGCCGTGCCGCGCTGCAGGCGGCGAAGCGACGCAGCAAGCAGCTAAACTTTGGTCAGTGCACGGAGAATCTTTTCCAGGCGCTCGATTCGAACACAAAACTGCGCAAGGCCAACTATCAAAAGCGATGGGATGCTCGCAAGCTCATGCTGCCCACCAAGTTCGAGTTTGAACCCAATTATTTCTATCGATACGATTATGCGCCGAGCATCAAAGTGAGTCGGCGATATGGTGTGCAGGATGATGACGAGGACGATATGGACAGGGATACGAACACGGCTGCTGACGATGCTGCCGATGATGTGGAACTTTTTGACAATGATCACTTTGAGCCGGACACGCCTCATTCGCCTGGCGAAATGAGTGTGAGCACCATGAATTTGGGCGGGGAGCCGGGCGCCACGATCATGGGCGGTGAGCAAGCCACATGCGGCAATCTGAACCAAGGAAATGCAACGATGCGCAATAATTGTAATGATACGGTACTCGAGATCGCCACCGATTTTGAGGGAGCACCAACGCAGGTGAGAGCGCAATAAATTTATCACTTTAAGAACTGATATGAAGCTTTAAAAAATTAAACTCTTACCATTCCCTTTTTAATATATTATTGTTAACTTCTTCTAAACAGGTCACCAAAGTAATTGTGCCTTTTGCGAAGCGTGCCAAGGTAATTGACATGAAGAATCTCAAGCGCAGCTGCAATTCGCTGATACAGAAACAATTGCTAACCAATGCCACTATTGAGGAGAAGAAAATACCCGCCCATGCGAAAGCGAAGGAGGAGCATTATGCCAAAGGCATGGCCACTTTTAAGGAGGTCTACGACAAGTTACCCAGCGTGCTGTCCGCCAAAATGGCCGATTCGCTCTCGCCCTCGGTGGCGCTTTATGCCGTGCTGCATTTGGCCAACGATATGAGATTGCGGCTCATACCACAAGACGATTTTGAGAACTTTACAATAAGACAAGTATCGGAATAGCATAGAAAAATCTATTTAGCTTTAGGAAAAATGTACAGTGAAGTTTTTTTCTTAATCACATTGAGCAGTATTCCCACAAACAAATCAGCCCACACTCCATAAAAATGAACTGCTATAATTTCTTAATATTTTTAGTGCATCGTGTTCTACATATATTCTTTTTAATGTTAAGATGATTTAGTGAGAACAATCGTCATTTGATAACAGACAACATTGTAATTAAAATTGAATATTAATTAATGCAACGGCTTAATATATGTTTATTAACTTTGTATGTGTTCGTCATGTTTGTCACAATTTAGAAGTAAAATTTTATCTCCAACAGACACAACATTTTTAGAAAATATTTTTAAGATTTATAATAAACCTAATTATAAACTGTACTTTCATGAAAGTTCTTAAAATCTCTCGGACGCTCACAAATAATATGGAGTGTTTTTTATAGGATAATTTAAGGTTGAATGTTGTAGTTTTACAGTACCTTGTCTAAGGATCTGCAACTGACAAATTTTAAGCTCAACATTTTATGCGCGCACTTTGTTGTTGCTCTGTTTTCCGCCTTTAGAAAACTCACGCATTAGTTTTGTCGGCCCGATGTTGACACAGGCGAAGGAAACAAACAGCCATTGTTGCTGTCCCTGGCTTTGTTCTTCGCTGTTTTAATACCCTGTAATCATAATCTGTAATCGAGTTTGTTGCAATTTTATGTACACTTTGGTATCGATAAAGTCGCTGATAAGAAATAAAAAGGTTGTTTTTTTCAGTTATATTAAGGCAAACCAGTTTTGTTTATGTTGAATTGGGCAGCTTTCACACAAGGTTAGTTCTAGGGTATCTATGAGTCGTTCATCAAATGCGACATTGTTTATGTTGCCATTTGCATACGTTTAGCCCGTTTTCGCTCGCGATTTAGACGCGCCTTCATACACTTCCATGTGTTTGTTGCTCTCCCAAGTTGTTGTAAGTGTATGTGTGTGTGTGTGTGTGTGTGTGTGTGTGTGTGTTTCTGACACATTTGTGCTGCATGTGTGTTAAAAAGTTCAATGTTTACAGAGCGCTTTTAGGCGCCGCGAATGTGTTTCTGCACTCATGTGTGCGTGTGTGTGTGCGTGCGTGTATAATTGCATATTATTTGCATAAATATTTGCTAAGTACAAAGTACAAAACACAACAGCAACAATAACAGCAGAGTCGCATAACATTTAAATAGCTTCATCAAACTTTTGATATTAACAGCAGCAGCAAAAGCAAAGTTTTATTTAACATTTCTCTCACCTTTCCTCTTCGCCGCCGCCCGCCATTTGAGCTCAAATGTTCTGACACCTGTGCGACATGTTTTAATTGCATTTATTATGATTTGTACTAAATTATGCAGTCATTTTAGAAGTTTAAAGCCACATTTAAACTTTAACAGCGATTAAAAATAGGCTCATTCCTATCTCTCCCACAGGCGAAACGCCTTTTCGGCCATGTGGCAAATGTGCGATATCTCGAGAAATAGCCTAATAGCCTTCCTTTTTATGAGGGTATATAAATGTAAAAAAAAAATGACTTCATTAGCTCATAACTGAGTGCATTTTGGTGTTGTCGATGTTAAATGCAATTACTGGCTGTCAAACATTTGTGCGCCATGTAGAAGATAATACGCTGAATATGTTGACGAAATACTCTTCACACATCTTCGGCACACATTCACATTTACAGGTAAAAGGTTAATTATCAGTACAAACGTAATTGAGGCGGGTTTGAGGGGGGGGGGGGTTTGAGTTGAGTCAAGTTACAAACGGCGGAATAAGCCAAAGTCCATAACCATCCAGGACGTTGTTTTAGCTCCGGGTCCCTTCTGCCTTGTTGTTGTCCCCTGCACGGGTTTTACTTTTATTTTCATGGTTATGATCTCACATTTGTTGCTTAATTGTGTTATGGCGGGGCTTTCAAAGTTAATAATTGTTTGGATTTCCGGCGGTTCTTTTGGCGTTTGCCTTTGCTGCAGTTAACTTTGCAGTAAAACTTGCTATTGTACACACTTCCGTTTATACTCTACCAATATTATTTTTAAAATTAAACCCTAATATGCTATGGGGATTGTCTATTTTGGCATGGGATTTTTCAAATGGGGATCCAAATGTGAGCTTACCTTAGTCAGTTTACCTTAGTCACACAGGTCTTCGTATTGTGTAATATCCTCTCTAACAGAATCCCTTATTTGAAATTGTTCAGGTAAGCCTGAAACGAAATATATAGCATCGAATCAGGACAAGAATTCCAGAAAATATGAACATAAATTTGTCCTGATAGACTAATAATTTGGGTAACTTGAGCATTTCAATAATCCTTTTCTTATCGTGCCACTTTAAAAATTTGCTACCAAAATGATGAATGATAAGTCTCTCAGAGACTATAATATTTTTCGAACAAATTATAGACAGATCCTGGTCTATCAACTGGCCAAATGACAAATGCCAAATGAAATTGATCTTCTTTTGTGTTTGTTGCCACAGGCAAGTTATTTCCAAATGGGATTTACTCCATAGAATATTTTTCTCTACATTGACTCACCTGTTTACTTCATTTGCAACTTCCTTTAGTTTCGGTGTTTGACAGCAGAATAAAAAGCAGCTCAATTTTGGCTTCAAACAAAATGAACTTTTTTTAATCTTTTGCTTGACTATTTTCCGCGGTGTTGTTTTGATTACAGCCCTTTTCGATTCGGTATATTGAAGGATTTTCAAAAGAAAAACAAACTAAAAATAAAAAATAAAAAAATTAAGAAATTAATAATAATTTAATTAAATAACAATACTTACTTCGACATATTCTAATAAATATCCAACATGGTTTTTTTTGTTCACTCCCTACAGAGTTTCACCATTTATTATACTGTATTTTGTAGGATATAGTATGTATCTTTTATATCGGGTAAAATATTTTGCGTGTATTCAGCATTCTGCATATTATTTACATTCATGACAGTTTGTTAGATGCATATATAATTAATACTCGTACAATATATCGCTTGCTGCGTGGAGAAACTGTTTGGACAATTTTCCGAAAATTGTCGCCTTTGCCTTTGCCTTTGCCTCTGCACTCCTAGTACCCCTAATATATTAATTAGTATGATAGATTATATTAAGACATTTCATTAGTAAAACAATTATAATTAAATAGGTTGTGTCGTACTTTCAATGATGGTGTAAATAAAATATACAAAACTTGTTCTGTTATTCGACGGTCAGTTTTAAGTTGAATTTGTCTTGTTATTATTTTTTTTTTTTGTTTTTTTGCATATTTTTTCTTTTTATTTGATTTTTGGTTTTTTTGTTTTTGGTTTTGTTAAAAGTACATCAATAAAATTTCAATACATTTAGTAGACAAATATTTTTGTTTATAATTTTATATGTATGCATGTAGTATTTTATATACTCATTTAATATAGTAGTAGATAAATGTATATAATTCTTTTTAGCACACAGAAATATAACAATTGTTGCAGTAATACACCTTTCGGGGGCCTTTAAATGTTTTTTAAACATTTTCATCATAACTTTAATAGAGTTCGCTTAAGATTTAAACAAAATAATACGGTTTTACATATTTTTCAATATTTTTCTTCATTTCTCTTCTTATTTCTTTTTTCTTTTTTTTTTTATAATTTTTTGATTATAACAAATTTGCGCTACATTTTAAAAACTGTTTTGCGTTTGTCGTTATATACATTTATTCTGGTATTACGATTGACGTGTTAGAGAGGCAATTTAATTGAGCTTGTTAGGATTGTGGCCTGGGAAACTTTCTATAAGGCTAGTCAAAACGAACTACACAGCAAATTAGAAGAAGTTTCAAAGAATACCAAAAAATATATAAGTAAATATTAGAAATTGTCAAAATATAACACTATCATAATGAAACGTATTAGATTATCATTAGATAAAATATTTAAATGTTAAAATAATAAATTATTCAAATAATAAAATATTATTTAAAATATTTCCATATATATTTATATATATATATATATTTTTTTTTAAAATTTAATTTATTAATTTTTTGGTATATAACTTGCCAGCAACTTATTAAAGTTCATGGGCTAAATTTCCTATAGAGTTTAGTACTCTTTAGTAAATAGCTGCACAAAATTAAAGTGTACGCGTATTCGGTTATGCATATATGTTTATATAGTATATGGTTTATATGTATGTATTCTTTAGCCTGTGTCCTTAGCTCCCTGCGCTTACCGTAGATGCCTTCAAAAACTGTCCCTCAGTTGAGTGTTTGAAATAAGTAGGTTCCATTTAGTGTGTGTGTGTGTATTGTGTGTGTGTGTTGGTTTTTCCGCCCAATTGTTGTTATCAGTGAGTTTGCTTTGTCCTTTTGTTCATTTCCATTTTTCAGATTTTAGCAACATTTTTGTATTTAATTCTCGGACTTGGGTGCAACGGATGCAGTCTCAGCAGCCAACGGCATCTATAAATTAAAAAGAGAGTGCCAATGAGTATCCACTTCCAACTTGGTGTCCAGCTCATGCTCTGCCCACCTTCTGCTCGACTGGCGCCTTGCCAGTGCTACGGCCCCAACGCAAGCGCATGGGCTTGCGTGCCTCGCGCTGGAACTGATACTCCGAGTTGTCCTCATCCTGATCCTCATCGGTGTCCTCGCCAGAGCCGCCAGGAAGCTCACCGGCAGAGCTGTCATACTGCTGCTGCAGCGCCAACAGCATGCGGGTCATCTCCTGCCACTTCAGCCACTCCCGCTCCAGTTGAGTGCGTTCCCGTTGCTAACAGAGATAGAAAAATAAACGGAAAGTGTGCAAAACAGGCTTGAAAACACTTTTGTAATAGAGCAAACACCTTAAATGATTGAAAAGAAAAATGATTTGCTCTTAGAATCGCTCAAATATCGCCTCTCTACGCAATTCTCATGGGCTCTCATTTAAATTTGTACAAAATCAAATAAAGCTTTTCAACTCGGAGTATATGCAAGTTAATCCAAATAAAATGTATGTCGAAAAAGGCGAAAGATGATAAGAGCAGTATATACTTGGAATATTTCGGAAACACCTGCTGGAGGTCTTACAATTCCCCAAGTTTTCCATCCGCCTGCAGATTCTTAGCCTATTCATGGCAAATATTCAAATACATAAGGTTCTATAATATTTCCAAGTTATCATTTTGACAGCAATTTTGGCTGAAAACTCTTCCCCATCTGACTTTCATTAGATCTTTGGCTTACCTGATCCTTGTCCACACGATTATTGCCAAGATCCAATGGGCTGGACATGACGCTGCGTCCCCAGCGCAAACGTTGGGGCTTGCGTACGGCGCGCTCGAAGGCCACATCATAGTCATCGGATAGCTCGGCATCATAGCCAGCACCTGGTTGATTCGCCTGCTGGTTGTTGAGGGTCAGCTCACGCTCGAGAAGATCGTCGTAGGCGGTGCGCCGCATTTGAGGCAAGTTGGGATCGCTGCGGCGACCGAAGCGCAGCCTCAACGAGGGCGATCTAATGGGCTTCTGGTTGACATCGCCGAACCAACGTTTCTCCACAATGTTGTTCAACATGTCCGGATCGCTGCGTCCGAAACGCAGGCGCAAGGACGGCGAACGCTGCGCCTTGCGTTCCACCTGATGATTCGGAAATACAATGGGTCCGGCATATTCACGCTGCAGTAGATTGTCATACAGGCTGCTAATGGGAGCGCCTGTAAAATGCCAGAGATCAGTAAGCAGCTAAAGAGGTCCTTGGTTGGGTATTTGGTGCTCACCTTGAACTGTGGATAGTTCGGCGCTGGACTGCTGCAGCATCAACAGATTTAAGCTGAACAGTGCCAAGGCGCAGCCGTAGCTTAGCTGGGACTTGAAGTACATCATTTTTGGGTTTACTTTAATTCCTTGAGATGCTGCAAGTTCTGGAACAAGAGATATATTGATTAAAATAAATTTTTTTTTATTTATATCATTCTTGAAGATTATTTTTACAATTTATTTAAAAATCTATTCTCCTTCTCCTGGCAAGAAATATTGAAAGAAAAATATCTAGAAAATTATACAAAATCATCAAAATTCTAAGCATCTTTGAAATAGTTTAAATATAATTAAAAGGGGGTTTCGAATTAAAAATAAAATTTATGCAAGTGCTTTAAATGCTTTAAGATTTTTAATGAAAGACATTTGAAAGTACATTTTGAATCCAATACATGTTGAGCGAAAATTGATTTTGTTCATCGAATCCGAAACGAAGTTTCTTAAAAGCTCGAAGATAAATGTAAATTCCAAGATTGAGAAAAGCATTACTTAAAAGTTCCCCAAATCAGTTCCTTTAAATTTTCTTTTTTGTATTATGAAAAGTTCTTTTTATTTCAATATTATGATAAGTTCCAAGTACGTTTAATTTCAGGAGCTTGTGACGTCCGCAATTAGCTTCATCCCTTTAAACCTCTACTCAACCCTTTGCAAGCTGAATTCTTCACATTTTTAACACCCCCGCTGATCTGATTGCCCGACAGGCTCGCTTTGACTGCTAACAATTCAATTTCCGCTTGCCACTGGCATCACGTATACGCACGCTATCACGTATACGACACGTTGCATCGCATGCACCCTTAAAAAAAATAATTCGCATGCACTTAACACCCCTCAGTGCAGAGGCGGCTGCTGTCGATGCTTATGCATTTAGAATTCCGCACCCGAGGCTGGATTTAACTTTCAGCTTTTGCCTGGAGGGAGGAAAACTTTGCGACAATTTTTTTTTATAAGGGTTGCCCCTGGAGTGTCTGCCTTTTGTTGTTTCACTTTTTTATTGCTGCAAGCCCAGCTCATTTGTTATCATTGTTAAGAGAGACACCCGCATATGTGCACACACACACACGCACACACACACACATACACACAAACACACACACTTCACACCCCTTTGTCACATTGTTGCTGTTTTTTTTCTTTTGGGCGCCGCCTTAAGGTAAGCTATAAAGAAAACTAGGCAAAGTCCTGGCCACTTGACTTGTCTGCACTCTGCAGCTTCTTGCCCCTCTCCCACCCTCCTCTCTGCTGTGTAACGTCAGCTTATACATAATTCAATTGCCTGGGTTTTTTGTTGCCTGTTGTAAAATGGATTTATGACGTTTGAAATGAATTGCAATGCACAGCGGCCGGCGTGAAAGTTGCTCAAGTTTATTTACACCGCAAGTTTTCCATATGAATTTAAATATATGCACTGCTGCCACGCCTACTTCCCTGGCTGGCAGCCTACGTCTTGTCTTATTGCAGCAAGACGAGCATTGAAATTGCATTTTTATTGATTCGGTTAGGTTTTAATGATGGGCACATTGCTTCCTGTCCTTTAAAAAGGGGTTTGTTTCTTTCATTTACTTGATAATGTGTGTGTGTGTGTGTGTGTGTGTGTGTGTGTGTGTGTGTGTGCGTGTGTACTCTCTGCCCATTAGTCCATGACATCATTTTCTAAAGCCTTCGCTTTTACCACATGGGCGTCAATTTGCCATAAATTAAAAAATAATAAAATATAAAAATACATTGAACAGGTGCGTCGTTTTCCTAACCTTTCGACGGGCTGACCTCTTGAAAACCCCATTAGAAAATAGGGGCATATGCGAAAGCATATTAATATATTAAATATTTAATAATTCAATTTAAGTGCACTTCGGTATGAATGCGCTTACTTAAACGGAGACTCAAACTTAAACTGTGTTATTAAAAGCAAACGAGAATAAAAAGATATTTTCAGTCGCAGATAATCGCATATAAAATATTCTTAATTAAGATAAGAATAGCTTATAGAATTAGATAGACGCACTTTTCGACATTTAGATCCAGATGAATTTGAAATTCGATTTTTAATCATGATTATTTATAAATTAATATATATATATTATGAATGTATCGATTATGTTTGTGACAATTTTATAAAACCCTTACCGAACGCAATAATTGCAGCTCTATCAATCTTTTTCAAATATTTTAACAATTGCCAAGTGTTTGCAAAAGTATTTAAACTTCAACGGGGGCATATGGTAATATTTTTTTTTGAAAAATGTACTTAATAAGTTTTGGCAAAAATGCAGTTTTGCTATAAAATATTTTGATCATCCCGAAAGTAAAATCTCGTTTTGATTATTTATATTTAAATATGTGGCATAACTGTTAAGACGTTTTTAGATAAAACATATAGTTCAAAATATATAATTATTAAAGGTTTTTTCATTTCCTTTAATTCTCAAGTGTTTCGGACTGAGGGCAAGCCGAAGTCAATCGAGAGTCTAGTGTTCTGCAAAGGGTTCTGATGATAGAAAAGGGAGGTTTATAAATTAGCTATAAAGGCAACCTGTTCTCTCTCTCTTGTCGTTAATTAAAGTATTTAATTATGAAATATAATTGTTATTTAACCCAAACAAATGTAACTATCTATTTTTTTGTGTTTTTATATAGACCTCTGATATTTTTTGTAAGCAGGTAAATACCTTAAGAGCAAAATACGTGTTTTAACCAGGTCTGAAATGTGTCAGACACACAATTTACTTACTCGTTGTTCTTCTCTGACAATCTTTGCTCTGACATTCTCTAGCTGCTTGTCCTAAAGAGCAAACAAGTTAATAGTTTGACGAAAATGCGCAAATAGCTGAATAAATTCTTTACCCAAGAGAACTTAACCAATGTCACCTGAATATTAACATGTCTTGTTGCCTCCAGCTTGGCCAAAAATATTATGCAAGTTTCTGTCACTCGTTAGCAGTTTTTGTCATTTTCGCTTTCTCGTTTCCAAGAAATATCGCCGAATGGTGTTTTATACATCACTACCGATAAATTCTCACTAGAATCAGCATAGACCCCGCCATATCTCTCGCCATGGCAGCACCAGTTGTCGCTATGCAGGGCAAAAAATTTAATCAAGCCAACTTCATATTTGTGCGAGGACCCAGCCACAGCTCGCCCAGACATGCCCAACATACGCCTACAGCAGAGTGTGCAAGTATTTGGCCCAGCATGCGAATGCAAATATGTAGTTTTTTTTTTTTTTTTTGTGACACATATGAATTGAACATAGGCGAGAGCTTTGAAGGGATTTTACAGCAGCTGTTGCCAAAGCTCTGTTTAATTAGTCGAGTTTTTAGCTCCGGCAACGGAGCAAAAAAACACTTAGGCAAAGTTCTGGATAACAATACCTCCTCAATATTTTCTTACATTTTCAGAGGCCATTTACAAGCTGCTGTTTAAAGTGTTTTTATGACCCAAGAATGTGATAGAGTATCATCATTTGTGATACTCTGAGCGAGGGCAAAAACTTGATTTGGGTGCACCACAAGAAAATGGATAATTTGTAACAGTTTTAGATGTAGATACAATTTGAACAGATGCTCTTGCTATGTTGTGTTAATTTTGTCAAATGTTTTGCTTAAACGTTGCGAACATAATCTCATGTGTCTCATGTGAATAAAAAACTACGCACATGTCTCGCACGGCGACCGACGAAAATCGCCCGGCACAATGGGGCGTATGATTAACGCCTCAAGCCACAAAGTAGGCAAACGCAAAGCCACACAGAATGGCAACAACAACAACAACAAGAAAGTTTAATCAAATACGTTGATAAAACACAAAAGATTACGCCGTTTCCCTTCCTGCAAGTGTAATAAGGCTTTTTGGGCCGCAAAAGGGTCGGGCTGGGTCAGCCAAAGGCTGCCAAAACTGGGCACCTAATGTGTTTGTCAAAACGCTCTAATGCCAATGGCCGGGGTGCTATAAAGCAGACACCAGCAACAATAACAACAATTCAGCTCGGTAGCCGAGCAGTTTTTGGCCAACCGACCACAAATGACCTTTTGGGCACAACGAGAATAAAAATTGTTAAATAAAAGGCAAATAAAATGTGTGACACAAAACAGCGAGAAAAAAAAACAAAAAGCAAAAAACTGAAGCCTCGTCAATGTCGGGCACGAAACAACCTGTTGTATGTGTGTGTTGTGTGTGTGTGTAAGCACGCGTGTGTGTGGGTGTTAATGTATTAGTTTAGCTTGACCAAAAGGCTATTTAAACGTGGTCAATGTGTTTTTACGCCTCAGTAGCAAATGCGAAAATATTACACTATGCAACAAAGTGTGCGGAAAAATGGTAAACAAAATATTCAATTGGAAAACTCAATGCAAGCTGGCGTTTTCTCAAATGTACAACAATGGATTCTTCCAATTATTATTTTTTTTTTATATTTTACATACTTTTCATTGATCCTAGGAAAATAACATAAGTGTAATACACTATTAAATATAAATTACAAATGTTATAAGACATCTTATAAAATAAAAGAGTAGAAAAAAGCAGAGAAACTTATTAAGAAGAGCCTAAGAGAGGTAAGTGTGCTATTTTCAATATAAAATATAAATATGCTTTTAATGCATTGAATAAAGTTCTGGCAATTTCAAAAAAAATGACTCTATTTAAATAATTATGCCTTATATATCTTTGAAGAGTACACAAAAGTGTGTTGCATAGTGAAGGTTGCCCAAATGGCAGCTTTGGGTTTTTGTCTGTGCGATGAGCCGTGATTTAAGGCTACTCAACGTTGAACAATGTGTTAATGGCTTGTTTATTATATATATCAGTTTTCGCTTCGATCTCCTCTTATTTCCTCGTCATGTTCAATTTGGCGCACAATTGGCTATTTGACAGTTTTTAAAGGACGACGATGATAAATCACTTTCAATTTTGACAAACGTCACAAATGTCGCGCTGACGGGACGCACATTTCATCACCCACACACACACACACACACAAACACCCACACACATCCAGGCACACACGCACACGCATTTACATACTCGCCAAGCAGGCCAATTGTCCAGTTTTCGCAAAGCTTCCGCCGGCTGACATGCCCACACATCATTTCCAACCAACGTTTGGTGAGTTATCTTCGA